GCTTTTGACAAGACGTTACTTAACCACTCTCTTCCCCGGATCTCTCTTCTGTGAAATGGGGAAGAGGTCACTGCTGACTTCGGTTTTACAAGAAACTAAGTTCAGAGATAAGAAGGCTCGAATGGATGGTCTAAGAAGCGACTGAGCATTCAGTAATTACCCCAGGAATTTCCTCCAACAACAGTTTACTAGTAGTCGATGTTACTGGAAAAGAGAGGAAAGAGAGTGGGTACTTTCTCCCTTGAGAGCAAGCGCCTTCCTTGGGGCTTGCCCTGAGCGGTAACTATGGCCTCTATGTGTATGTAACACTTCAGAGGGTTCTGAGAAGTGGCACTTGTGTGTGCATGTTCCAATGTCAATGTGGGCCCAGCCACCTTGTGCTAAAGCCATATGGTGATGATGGTCCGGATCCAGGGTCAGCCCGAAAACCATGCCACGCATGCCTACATGCAAGCACCCAAGGTCCCTGAGGACCTGGAGGCTGCAGAGAGGGGATCGTGGCATGAGAAGACTCTGTCGAGGGCGCTTCTCCACTCCCCTCGCTCACGCACACATACACGCATGTGCACACGCACTTTCTATGGCTTAAAAAAAAGAATGAGGGAACTAAATATGTCCACACCCTTAACCCAATCTTCCCACCCCCAGGAACTCATCCCAAGGAACCCTTGGAAAATAAAGTACTTTCCGTGAGAGAATATTTTTTTTTTTTTTTGGAGAGTTTACCGCGGTCGACTACGTGGGAGTCCAGCGACATAGCCATTACACTAACTGCTGGTTCCCACCGTGAGAGAATATTAATCACAATGGAGAAGAAGGTTGATTTGCCTCCTCTGGCATTCACCCACTTTACCTAGTCTCTCTGTTGCAGCCCTGGAACGAGAGTTTGTACCAATGGCTTCAAAATCCCTACCCATGCCACGACTGTTTCCAAGTCATTTGAGGGCTGGGATCTTTTATCACATAGGTTCTGAGACCTCAACCCAGGGTTGGGGTACGAGACGTGAAAATACTATTTCTTTTTTGTTATTGTTGTTTGTTTGCTATAGGCCACGAGTGCTGGCCAGAGAGAGACAGAGAAAGAGAGAGCAAGTGAGAAATCACCACCCCCCCACCCCCCCGGGGATGGCCACATCACAATCCCTTCTCCTCTATTCTCCTCTTGGGATTTTGGGCACGCATGCACATGTGCCTGGCATGTTTTTCAAGCTGCTGGGTCCAGGAGTCCAACCACGCAGTTGGCCATGTGGGATCCAGCCGCCTTAATCACCATGCCACCCACTGGCCCAAGAATTCCTATTTCTTAAAAGCTCCCCAAGTGGTTTCAATGTCCAGCCCACTTTAGAAACCACTGTTGTAGGCCCGAAGCAGACAGAGCACCTGTGAGCAGCTGTCCACACCCAGGGAGCACCATGACAGCTTTGTGTGCAAGTCTTCCAGAAGTTACTCAGGACATTCAAGCAGTTGCCAGAGTCAAATGACTTAAGAGCCATGGAGGGCTCAGTTTCTTCACTTCTTCCCTCCGCTCTCTTCCCCTTCCCACCTCTGACACCCCTGCTCACTCTCACTGCCCTGCAGAGCCCTGTAAAGCCAGGCTGCCTCCAGGCTCCATCAGGAACCCCCACACACACGTCTATCCAACCTTTCCATCTACAAAGACTCCACATTTCCCGCCTTATGATATCAGTGGGGCTCCGCAAGGAAAACTAACTTTGAGAACACGTTGTCAAGATGGTCCCACTTGGCACCAGCAGTTGGCGTAATGGCTATGTCGCTGGACTCCCATGTAGTCAACCGCCATTCGAGTCCCAGACCCGGTGGCTTAAACTCACACCAGCGCGTGTGCGTGCGTGCCCAAGATCCCGAGAGGAGAATGGAGGAGAAGGGATTGCAGCATGGCCATCCCCTCTGGGGGGGTGATTTCTCGCTTTCTGTCTCTCTGTCTCTCTCTGTCTTTCTGGCGAACGCATGCGCCCTATAGCAAAAACCTCTAAAAAAAATGGTCCCAACTCCTAAATGAAAAATGGATTTTTAATTGTGCCATGCAAGCACTCAAATTAAAATATTTAAAATAGCATAAAATTAAATAGTTAAATTTACACTGGCAGAGGAAGAAATGTCACTGCCTTCTCTAATTGCAAACACCGCTATAATCCCACCCGAAACATTCAGAAAGCAACATTGACCACGGATGCCTGCCAATGAGGCTGCGTATATTCGGAGGATTTCTCTCGGAGCCTGAGGACCTGGTATGGAAAGTCTCGAAAAACACATTTCTAATGTTGTTTTCCTTTCTTCATTCACATTTTCACTGTGACGCACCCAATTTCTGTGCCTCAGTAGTACCTGGCACTCAAAAGTGGGTCATTCCCATCCTGCACAGAGCATGCTCCATTTCTTTTCACTGAATACTAGCATTTTAAAAGCTAGCTTTGGGGGTTGGCCCTGTGGCCTAGTGGTTAAGGTGACTGGATCCCACATGGCCAACGGTGCGGTTCAAATCCCAGCCCCAGCAGCTTGAAAACTACGCCAAGCACACACACACACACACACACACACACACACGAGTGCCCCAAACCCCAAGGGGATGGAGAAACGGAGGACGAAAGGACATGGCAGTGGGGAGCACTGGGGGGTGCTTTCTCCCCCTCCCTCTCCGTCTCGCACCCTCTCTGTTTCTCCCTAACAAGCTCGCATGCCCTGTTGCAAATTTAGAAAGAAAGAAAGAAAGAAAGAAAGAAAGAAAGAAAGAAAGAAAGAGAAAAGAAAAGTCTGCAGAGATCTTGTTCCCAAGCCAGGAATCACATCATCTTCGTTTTTTGTCCATGGGCAAGGCCCTAATTCGATTTGTCGTGGCCACGTCTAAGACTTTATTTAATGCCAGGTACTAGGCTAAGTGTTTTGCATACTTTTATTTCATCGTATGTCGACCCCTCCCCGAGGTAACGTACTTTCAGTTTTCTATCATGAGAGCATTGAAAAGCTCAGTGACCTGTGTGAGGCTCCCACAGCCCAGAAACGATAGCGTCAGGATCTGACACAAGGCCAGCTGGCTCTGCAGCCTCGGTTCTTATTCACCACTGTGGACGTGCTTGTCTCTGCGGGCTCCCATATCTCACGGCCCCGAGAGAAGGAGCCCTCCGTCAGGGTGCTGTGCTGACTCTCAGAAAGAGAACCCAAACTAAGAGCCCCAACACAGCCCTGCTCCTCCTCAGACCTGCCGTGGAAGGAAAGCACAGCTTGTGGGATGTTCGGACTGACGCCTGAAGACTAAAAGTTTAATATAATTCATCAACCAACTTGTCCTCCCAAGAGGAAGGCCACTTTAGTGACTGGGTTATTAAAGGACACCCTAAAAATGCCCCAGCCAGAAGGGGAAATCCTACAGATGCCCCGAACCACAGGGACTTCTCTGTGCTAGGTACTAAGGGAAGAGAGTCAGAGGCAAAGGAAGAACCACAGGCACACATGGGGATGAGAAAGTAGCCCCGCGAAACCAGCAGTTAGCATAATGGCTATGTCGCTAAACTCCCTCGTAGTCGACTGCGGTTCGAGTCCCAGACCCGGTGGCTTAAACTCACGCCGGGTGCATGTGCGTGCGTGCCCAAGATCCCAAGAGGAGAATGGAGGAGAAGGGATTGTGGCGTGGCCATCCCCCCTAGGGAGTGATTTCTCACTTTCTGTCTCTCTGTCTTTCTGGCGAGCGCATGCGCCCTATAGCAAAAACCTCTCCAAAAAAAAAAAAAAAGAAGAAGAAATTAGCCCCCTAGATGAAGAGGCAAAGGTCGCCAAGTTCAGTCTCCAGTGGAATCCTCTGGGACGCTAAGGAGGAGCCAATGGCAGAAGAAGACTAGCGAACTATTGAACAGAGACTACCCCCTTCGGTGGTCACCCAAGGTCCCCCCTAGTCTGTCCACACCCTAACTTTCTAACCCTCTTTCTTGTCACAGGTAAGACCCATGTTCTTCTCTTCGTAGGTCACTCCCTTCAATCGATCAGGCCTCTCCAAGTCAGTCTCTCCTGAGTGATTTGCTCCACGGTGCTCCCAGGCTGAAAGAGCCTGCCCTTCCCCATCCACTCACACTGGCCAAGCTTCTGAAGCCCCTGTCTACCCGACCGCCCCAGCTCCTCCCAGGACTCCCACTTCAATGTCAATGCCACCCCATTCTTACTTAATTCCCATAATTCACTGCTTTCTACATTTTACTTCTTATCATACTACTGGATTATACGGCCCTTCAAAACAGAGCTTTCTTTATATTTCTCTGACACCCTCAATAGCACCAGCTTAGTACCAATAAGTCATCATCAACAATTTGTTGCTTGCCTGAATACTTCCATGTCCGTGGCAACTTATTCAAGGACTAGATCCAGTCATTCCCCACATTTTATTTCGTTACCACTCAAGCTACTGAGTGGTACCCCACAATACATCTCTAAGTCAAATCACCTCTAAAACTGCATTGAATTGAACTCAGAAGTAGATACTTACACATCACACGGATCACTTTGAGAAAGTGGATTTGAGCACGGGCAATACGTAAAACAAACAAGCTAAGAATTTCGGATTCGACCTCTATCGTTCAGATTTGGGTCTGGATGTGTTTGTTTTCTGATCCAGAAAACTTTTAAACTCATCTTTGCTCAATGTAGAGGCTCTTTAGACGTACTTAGTAAAACAGTGGGTGATATTTAAATTACTCGCCAAGGTAAGTTCAGTGCTGTCGATCACATGCATTGTCTAGGAGAAATAACTAGAAACCTTCTCCCCACAAAGCTAGCTATTATCGTTTTTAACGTTTCTGAGATAATTTTCATCTTGTTAGAACTTGGGAGTGGGCCTGGGAATCTCAGGGCCACTCTGCCAGCCCCCGAAACTCAGTTTCATACTTTACAACAGGGAGGACAGTGTCACACGATGTTTGGCCCAGACTAAAAGCTAAATAAAATCATAAAGATTCCTTTGGACACCAAAGGAATATTTTTATATAAATTCTTACCTGTTGTAGATGACGGAAGAAATTTCTAGACACCAAAATGACTGAGTCCGGAAGTCGGATGTGTTCAGTGCCGAGAGGTAAATGCCACAGCAGCCCAGGCTGTTCAGCTGCGGAGACTTCTGCCTTGGATCAGCTTTTCTCTCCTCCCAAGGACTTACTGACTCACGCAGAGGAACCCAAAATGCACCAGCCGGGCCAGGAGAGAACCTACCCCAAGAGGGTTGGGTCTGGTGTGTGAGGCGGCAACTGGGGCAGGAGGGACACTCTGAATGTGACAGAAGAGATTATCAAGTTCCTGTACACCAGCTTCCTGTAGCGGGCTCCTCCGCAGCCGGGCTTTCATCTGTGGGTTTGGGGGGTGCACGTGCGTTTCTCTACGAAACCGCCCCAGATGAGAGCAAAAGCGAGGCCTTTGCTGCATGGCTGAGCTGGTGCTGGATAGCCCCCCTTTCCCCACCCTGGGCCGTTTCTCTCTCCCCACCCCCCATTTCCCTCCTGCAAGTCACCCACGTAAAACCCAGGAAAAGAAGGGTGAAAAGCCAAGGTGATTCCTTAAGGAAGTGAAATAAAGGAGGGGAAACCAAATCCACGCAACTGACGGAGGCAGAATCCAGCACCTTAGGTGACACCTCGCCCACAGGGCAGGGAACGCAGTCAGCCAGCTGCTTTCTCAACACCTTACAAAGCGCTAGGGGGGAAGCACAGCCGGCCACCAGAGTGCTCGGTTGGCCTTGGTGCCCTGGCCTGGGTGTGGACTGGCATCTGGCTGGGAGGCCCTTGACCTGGAGTTTCACTTCGCCTAGGATCACAAATCGGCTTGTTTCATTCTTCTGTGCCATCTGGGCATGGAGGCCTCTGCAACCTTTCAGATCATGGCTGGATTGCAGGAACCAACAATGCAGTCACAGCCCCCATGTCCCGAGTCCCTGAATAACCGTAAAGGCGACCGCCCCAGGTTCAAGTCCCAAATCTGGTGGTTTAAACTCACGCCAGGTGCGTGTGCGTGCATGCCCAAGATCCCGAGAGGAGAATGGAGGAGAAGGGATTGCAGCGTGGCCATCCCCTCTTGGGGGTGATTTCTCGCTTTCTGTCTCTCTGTCTCTCTCTGTCTGTCTGGCGAGCGCACATGCCCTATAGCAAAAACCTCTCCAAAAAAAAGAGACCTACATGCCCTAAGGATCAAGCCAGCCCCATTCAAGTCGACACACATGTATAAAGCCCCTACTGAGTGCAGCCTATGGTGGTCGGTGCTAAAGCAGGGGAGGGAATCCCTCTTGGACCCAGGATCCTGTGATGGGCCTGATACTGTGCACGGCAGAAAAGCGCCAAGACCAAGACCGTCGATGTCCCTGTCCTGACAACACAGAACTGTGGGGCTGATGGGGGGCAAATAAAACCACTCCAATAAACGCAGAAATCTAATCCTCGGGGTGATTCGAGAGGCCCTCTCTGAGCAGCTGACATTTAAACAGAGCCCCAACGCCATGTATCAGTCCACCTGGAAATTAGAATCATCCGAGAAGCTTTTGAAAAGTATTCGTGCGGGTCAGCAAGTGGTTAAGGCAGCTGGATCCCACATGGCCAACTGCATGGTTCTAGTCCCGGACTGGGCAGCTTGCAAAACATGTCAGGCGTGTGTGTGTGTGTGTGTGCCCAAAACTGCAAGGAAGAGAATGGAGGAGAAGGGAATGTGGCATGGTCACCATCCCCCCACCCTCCAGGAACTGATTCCTCACTTTCTTTTTCCCTCCAGTGAGCACACATATCCTATAGCAAAACTAAAAGAAAATTTTTTGATTAAAAAATAAAAGTATTGGTGGCTGGGCCCTGCCCACAAAGATTCTAGTTAAATGGGTCTGGTTTAGGACCTAAGCATAATATTATTTTTAACTCTCCTGATTATTCTAATGGGTGAGAAGACTGTCTGATGAGCAAGAGGAACATTCCAAGCAGAGGCAAATAGCGTGTGCAAAGGCTCTGAGGTGGGAAAGCATTGGGCACATTCATGGAAGAGAAGGAAGACTGACGAGTCTGGGTGCCATGGGAGGGACTCGGTGGTGCAAGGTGAGTTTGCACAGACAGACGCAAAACGGCCGAGCTCACAAGAGGCTCTTACATGGACCCA